TTTTGAGACAGAGTTTCGCTCTTGTTACCCAGGCTGGAGTGCAATGGCGCGATCTCGGCTCACTGCAACCTCCGCCTCCTGGGTTCAGGCAATTCTCCTGCCTCAGCCTGCCGAGTAGCTGGGATTACAGGCACGAGCCACCATGCCCAGCTGATTTTTTGCATTTTTAGTAGAGACGGGGTTTTACCATGTTGACCAGGATGGTCTCGATCTCTTGACCTCGTGATCCACCCGCCTCGGCCTCCCAAAGTGCTGGGATTACAGGCATGAGCCACCGCGCCCGGCAGGGTTTTGACTTTTTATTCAACTTGCGTGTCTATGTCTTTGATTGGGGCATTTAATCCATTTAAATTTAGGATTAATATTGACATTTGTGAGTTTAATATTGTCATTTAATGCTAGCTGGCTATTTTGCCCATCCAGTCGATATAGATTCTTCATTATAAAGATACTGTTTATCTTTTGGTAAGTTTTTGGGATGACTGATACTGGTTGTTCCTTTCTGTGTGTAGTGCGTCTTTCAGAAGCTCTTGTAAAGCAGGCCTGGTGGTAATGAAATCTCTGAGTGCTTGCTTGTTCGTGAAAAATTTTATTTTTCCTTCATTTATGAAACTTAGTTTGGCTGGATATGATATTCTGGGTTGAAAATTCTTTTCTTTGAGGATATTGAATATTAACCCCCACTCTCTTCTAGCTTGTAGGGTCTCTGCTGAGAGATCTGCTGTGAGTCCGATAGGTTTCCCTTTATGGGTAACCTGACCTTTCTCTCTAGCTGCTCTTAGAATTTTCTCCTTTATTTCAACCCTGGTAAATCTAACGATTATGTGTCTTGGCATTGCTCTTCTTGAGGATTATCTTTATGGTGTTCTCTGTATTGCCTGGAGTTGAATATTGTCCTGCCTTACTAGATTAGGAAAGTTTTCCTGAATAATATCTTGAAAAATATTTTCCAGCTTGGATTCATTCTCTTCATGACATTCAGGTACACCTAACAAACGTAAATTAGGTCTTTTCACATAGTCCCATATTTCCTGTACACTTTGTTCATTCCTTTTTACTTTTTCTTCTCTAATCTTGCCTTCTCGTTTCCTTTCATTAAGTTGGTCTTCGACCTCTGATATCCTTTCTTCTGCTTGATCAATTCGAGTGTTAAAACCTGTGCATACTTCTTGAAGTTCTCTTATTGTATTCTTCAGTTCCATTAATTCACTTATATTCCTCTCTAAATTGTCCATTCTCGTTAGGATTTCGTCAAACCTTTTTTCAAGGTTCTTAGTTTCCTTACATTGGGCTAGAACATGTTCCTTTAACTCACAGAAGTTTCTTATTATCCAATTTCTGAAGCCTAATGCTGTTATTGGAATGCACTCATTCTCCATCAAGCCTTGTTCTCTTGCTGATGAGGAACTGTGATCCCCTGTGGAGGGAGAAGCATTCTAATTTTGAGTATTCTCAGCCTTTTTACGCTGTTTTCTTCCCGTCATTGTAAATTTACCCACCTGTTGTCGTAATTACCGACTTTCAAATTAGGTCTCTGAGTGAACGTCCAACTTGTTGATTCCCAGCGCCGAAATCTGAGCAACGCACTGCACCAGCCAGAACAGCGGTGCCAAGACTCCTGGTGCTTTTCTGCCCAGGAATCTCCCATCTGGCTTCCGTCCTGGGTCCCCCTTTCAATCAGCTGAATGGGCGACTCTGCCTTCCCGGAGCTCCAAACATCGACAAAAGGGGAACTAGTCCCGTTCACTCCGCACCGGGAACCGCCACGCCGGCCACAAGAGTCGCGCTGGCAACCCGTGGGGCTCCTCCGCTGGGAATCTTCTGATCCGTGAGCAAAAAAAATTCGTCTGAAAAGTGTGGCGTCCTCTCGTTCTCTGCGCTTTCACTGGGAGCTACAATCCCGAGCTGCTAGTAATCGGCCATCTTGGATCTCTCCTATATTTTCATTAGAGATGGGGTTTTGGCATGTTGGCCAGGCTGGTCTCATACTCCTGACCTCAAGTGATCTGCCCACCTCAGCCTCTCAAAGTGCTGAGACTACAGACACCAAAAGGTGCCAATTATTGATGTACTATTTAAGAGGCTTGATTGCTTAGTAGGGGAGGCAGCATGGCAGAGGAGAAAGAACATGGGTTTCAGAATCAGATAGTTAAAATCCCTGCCCTGCTACTCATTGGCTTTATGTCCATAAGCATGTTACCAGCCTCTTCAGTTTAACTCTTCTCGTCCATAAAAAGATGATTCATGGTTCATTCACTTAGCGAATATTTATTGAGCCAACTACTGTATGCCTGTCATCATTTTACACAGTTAAATAGGACAAGATTTTGTGAGATTCTTGCATGTAATAGACACCATTAAATATTTTTCCCTTAATGATCTGCCATAAAGGGGTTAATAAGTGTCTCTTCTATAATTTCTGATTCCAGATGAAGTGGGAAGCCCCTTGCAGACAGGGGGTGGACACTGTGAGTGCAAGGCCGGTGGGAAGGCAGGCAATGGCTGCACCAGAACAGGCAGCAGCAGACCACCTCCAGGAAATCCCAAAAGTAAGTGCAGTTTCCAGAACAGGCAAATCTATAGAGACGGAAAATACATCAGTGGTTGCCTAGGGCTTCGGTATGTTGAGGAGAAGTGGGGAATGAGAAATGCTGATGGTGTGGGGTTGCTTTTGGGGATGATAAAATATTCTCAGATTGATTGCAGTGACAGTTACACAAATCTGAATATACTAAAAACCACTGAATTAAATACCTTAAATGGGCCAGTCATATGGTCTGTAAATTATATCTCAGTACAGCTATTATTAACCAAAAAAAGGAAGTCCAGCTACATCCTGGGTGGCTTTTGCCTTCATGTGAGACCCATAATGTGGCTCAGAAGCAAGACTGATCTCAGCCTGTGATTTGTTGAGTGTAGCTCTGTGCTATCATGGCCTCTCACTGATGACCTATTGTCTTTTCTAAGCAGCAAAGGCAGAGGATGTCAAGAAGGTCCGGGAGACAGGGCTGCACCTGATGCGGCGAGCGCTGGCAGTGCTCCAGATCTTTGCTGTTAGCCAATTTGGTTGTGCCACAGGCCAGATCCCTCCAACCCTGTGGCAGAGGGGCCAGGCTGACAGAGACTACTCTCCCTTGCTGAAGAGGCTGGAGGTGTCAGTGGACAGAGTGAAGCAGCTAGCTTTGAGGCACCAGCCACACGACCATGTCATCACCTCTGCCAGCCTCCAGGACCTCTCTCTGGGAGGCAAGGATGAGCTGACCACGGCTGTGCGGAAGGAGCTGACGGTGGCTGTGAGGGACCTCCTGGCCCATGGACTGTATGCCTCCTCCCCAGGGATGAGCCTTGTCATGGCTCCTATTGCTTGCTTGCTGCCAGCCTTCTCCTCAGCCCCTGAGGCCATGCATCCCTGGGAGCTCTTTGTAAAGTACTACCATGCCAAGAACGGCCGTGCTTATGTGGAATCCCCAGCCCGGAAGCTCTCCCAGTCCTTCGCCCTTCCTGTTACAGGAGGCACTGTTGTGACCCCCAAACAGAGCCTACTGACAGCCATCCACATGGTGCTGACAGAGCACGACCCCTTTAAGCGCAGCGCAGACTCAGAATTGAAGGCCTTGGTGTGCATGGCACTGAATGAGCAGCGTCTGGTGTCCTGGGTGAACCTCATCTGCAAGTCCGGGTCACTCATCGAGCCTCACTATCAGCCTTGGAGCTACATGGCACACACAGGCTTCGAGAGTGCCCTCAACCTGCTCAGTCGCCTCAGCAGCCTCAAGTTTAGCCTCCCTGTAGATCTGGCTGTGCGCCAGCTCAAAAACATCAAAGATGCCTTTTGATAAGAATGCCCTGACCCCAGTCCAGCTCCTTGTTCACTAGGGATAGATGTGTTAGTCTTCTAGCATAGGAGGGAGGAATCAAAGGTGGGGTTAAAGGCATTTTTCCCAGACCCCGCTCAGGCAGTCAGCCAAGTGAGTGCAAAGTCTGTTTTCCCCACCAACGTAGCATCTTGGAAAGATGTGCTCGAGACCCTCTTATTAAGAAGGTTCTCCCCCAGTATATGTGAGGGCACATGTGCTTGAGCCTGTATTAAAGGAATCAGGTTGGGCACGGTGGCTCACACTTGTAATCTCAGCACTGGGAGGCCAAAGTGAGCAGATCACCTGAGATCAGGAGTTCAAGACCAGCCTGGCCAACATGGTGAAACCCTCTCTCTACTACAAATGCTAAAATTAGCCGGGTGTGGTGTCGCACGCCTACCCAGCTACTTGGGAGGCTGAGGCAGGAGAATCCCTTGAGCCTGGGAGGTGGAGGTTGCAGTGAGCCAAGATCATGCCACTGTACTCCTACCTGGGTGACACGGAGACTCCATCTCAAAAAAAAAAGATATTCAACTCGAGGCTCCTGTTGGTTGAGCTATCTTCTTTCACTTGAAGCAGGTTTGAGAGGCCAAGGCCAGAATTTAAATTCCTTTTATGAATAGATTTCCCTTTCTTCCTGACCCCAAGGTCAGAGGAGATTGTATTCCATGGCTGCCTCTAAGACTAGGAATATCTGAAAAACAACACTTCTAAGGGAGGCAACCACAGGTTGATTTTAATATGAGCCCTTTCTGTTGTAGATGTAAGAAGTGAGATCTTCCTGATCAGGTAGGCCTCTTCTCATGGCACCAACAATGGGCTTTCTGTTTATGAGGAGCAAGAACCCGTGTTTGTTACTATGTTCTATAGCAACTCACATTTCCCTGCTCACCTCCCAGCAAGACTAACACAGTCTTTTTAGAAGTAAATATATTCAAGATAAACGAGAAAATCCTTGCCACCCAAGTCAAGTACAAATCGGTAACCAGCAGCTGTACCTCAGGTTGGTACAGCTGTAACTCAGGTTGGGACTCACTGAGCGCCACTTGTCCTGGAGGCTGGATGATGGAGGACACCTGATCTGGTCATAGGTCCTGCAGCAGGGATAGATACCACAGCAGGACAGGAGCTACAGCAGGTCACTGTTTCCAGACCAGGGGGAGGAGCATTTCATTGTGAAATAGGCTCTAGAGTGGTTTTATTTGGTCTTCAGTATTTTAGTCTCATTAGTCACATTTGTCCTATAGCTTGTGGTGAGTACTGCTCTAGGACTGGCCAAAGATGGGCAAAATGTATCACTCCAGACACTACTGATTCAGCATTGTGTTCATGTCTTAAATTGCCATCTGCACTTTGTTTCTGCACTATTATGTAGTGCATTTTAACTTAATTTTTTTTCCAGCAACATGTTACTTATTTAAGATACATTGTTGATATTTTATTAGAATTAGTTCCCCTTCCCTGTGAAATAAGATAATTGTAAAATGTTGTGGAAAATGATACATATGTGGTTGCTAATGAAATCATAGTATTTTATGTAGCTTCTCTGAAGACCTTGGAGACCTGCAGCTTTGGTTTATAAGTGTTTTGGCATTATCAGCCCATCTGATCCAGATCAATATGTTTTTGAAAGCTGCTTGCATCCTCTGTCCTCTGCCTGCCTTGGATCAACCCAGCTTTGGTAATGGTGGTGGTGGTGGTAGGGGTTTTTTGCCCGAAAAAATGCTCTAAAAAGTGTCCTTGGCATGATGATCTCCTCTTGCCCAGGCCTGCAATCCCTCCCCACAACAGATGTCATCACACATGCTGCTTTTGGAATTAGCACCTTTTTTTTTTTTTTTTTTTTTTTTGAGATGGAGTTTCACTCTTGTTGCCCAGGCTGGCGTGCAATCGCCCAATCTCGGCTCACTGCAACCTCCGCCACCTGGGTTTAAGCAATTCTCCTGCCTTAGTAGCTGGGATTACAGGCATGCACCACCACACCTGGCTAATTTTGCATTTTTAGTAGAGACAGGGTTTCTCCATGTTGGTTAGGCTGGTCTCAAACTTCCGAGCTCAGGTGATCCACCTGCCTCAGTCTCCCAGAATGCTGGGATTACAGGCATCAGCCACCGTGCCTTGCCAGGATTGGCCCTTTTTTTTTTTTGAGACAGACTCCCACTCTGTCGCCCAGGCTGGAGTGTAGTGGTGCGATCTTGGCTCACTGCAACCTCCATCTCCCAGATTCAAGTGATTCTCCTGCCTCAACCTCCAGAGTAGCTGGGACTACAGGCGTGTGCCACCATGCCCAGCTAAAATTTTTTGTATTTTTAGTAGACATGGGGTTTCACCATGATAGCCAGGATGGTCTCGATCTCCTGACCTCATGATCCACCTGCCCCAGCCTCCCAGAGTGCTGAAATTACAGATATGAGCCACCACACCCTGCTCGGAATTGGCACTTTTAAGTTTACTTGTCTGGATATCACTTAGGGTGAGTGGTAACTAGTGTGGCCATATGGCATAGTCCAGCGATCAGCCAGTATTGTCTTTTTCAAATACTCACAAAAACAAATTCGCATTGAGGCTTTGTTCTAGCATTACATGAAGCATTTTCGTTTGTCTCATTCTAATTTAATTCTTACTGCTTACAAGGTGGGACAGTATTATCCCTACTTTACAGCTAAGGAAACTGAACTGCAGAGAGGTTAAATATTTTGTCACAGTTTACATGATGATGGAAAACCTGAGATTTGGAGTCAACTTTCCTGAATCCAAAGCCCATAGTCTGTTGTGTTACCTCATTGTATCGTGGTTTCTAGATCTTTTGTTCCTCTTTCTCCTTTATCCACCTCCCTCGCTCCTACCCTCACTTTGGGGAGGAGAAGGTATTTTTCCACACAACTGCCAGAAATTTCAGCTGCCAAAGGACTAGGCTGCAGGGAGACAGGCAGGCAGCCATGGCTTTCATGGCCAAGTTCTTCTCGAAACCTAAATGTCTGTATCAACCAAGACAATCCCAGCAATCCCATCAGCATCCCTGCACTCGGATATCTGCTAATCTCTGATATCATCTGCCACTTCTGAGAACAGAGCTCTGTCCTTGGCTTAGGTGAGACAGGACAAGGGAGGAAAGGCAAGCCACTCAACCCAGATCCAAGGTTATGCAAGAATGGAAGGAAAAAGAGCCGTGGATATGTATCAGTGAAAGTGTAGTGTCTGTTGTACAAGTATGATCTGCAAAGAATTGTTAAAAATATCTAAGGTGCTCTCCCATCATTCATTCGCTATTGATCACTTACCAACTATTTGCTCCAGGCTAGATCTAAGGAAAGAGATAAGTAAAACCTACCCTGTGTCCTCAACAAACACAGTCTAGCAAAGGAGATACCATCCAATTGGGTATTTGATTTGGGGAGATTGTTTAAAAGGAAAAAAAAAACCAGAGTCTCGCTCTGTTGCTAGGCTGGAGTGCAATGGCACAATCCAGGCTCGCTGCAACCTCCACATCTGGAGTTCAAGATTTTCCTGCTTCAGCTTCCTACCTGGGACTACAGGTGCATGTCACCATGCCCAGCAATTTTTTATTTTATTTATTTATTTATTTAGGTATTTTTAGTAGAGAGATGGGGTTTCACCATGTTAGCCAGGACGGTCTCAATCTCCTGACCTCGTGATCCACCCACCTCGGCCTCCCAAAATGTAGGGATTACAGGCATGAGCCACCATGCCCAGCAGAGATTGTTAAAATACAGATTGCTGGGTCCCATCCCCAGAGTTTTTGATTCAGTTGTTCCGGAGTGCAGCCGGAGAATTTGGTTTCTAACAAGTGCCTAGTTTTGGTGATGCTGCAACTCTGGGAACTACTTACGTCCAAACTAAGATATGTTCTGTAATAAAGGTAAGTACAGATTGGATTGCTGAGAGAGCCCAGAGAAAGGAGAGATTAATTCTGTCTGGGAGAATTCTGGAATAACCTTGAAGGATGGATAAAATATGAATAGGATTTTGCCTAGCTACTTGGAGAAGAAGACACAAGGAACAGCCCAGGGGGTACATGAAGGTTGGGGAAGTCAGGAATTTATGTTGCAGGTAGGGTAGTAAGGAAGGAAAGGAGTGAAAGTTCACACTATTGCATAAACAGCCAACAATGGATTTTAAGAAAAGTGAAGGACTTTTCAAGAAAAAGTTGTTAGAGCTGTTGCTCAAAATAAGATCTATAGATCACATGTCTCCACTCCAGACCAAAATTACAATCTCAGGTTGGAGACACTTCCTTAATAAGCATCCTGGCCAGGCACGGTGGCTCAATGCCTGTAATCCCAGCACTTGAGGCCGAGGTGGACAGATCACCTGAGGTCAGGAGTTTGAGACCAGCCTGGCCAACGTGGTGAAACCCTCCCTGTCTCTACTAAAAATACAAAAATTAGCCGGATGTGGTGGTGGGCACCTGTAGTCCCAGTTACTTGGGAGGCTGAGGCAGGAGAATTGCTTGAGCTCGGAGGGCAGAGGTTGCAGTAAGCCCAGATCGCACCACTGCACTCCAGCCTGGGTGACAGAGCAAGACTCCATCTCAAAAAATAAAATACATCGAAATTCATAGGATTTAGTTACTAATTTGATTTGGAGGGTAAGATGGCTTAGTCCCAGCTATTTGGGAAACTGAAACAGGAGGATCGCTTGAGGCTAGGAGTTTGAAGCTGCATCACACCTGTCAATAGCCACTACATTCAAGCCCAGCAATATAGCAAGACCTCATCTCCTTAAAAAATGAAATATATAAGAAAAAGACATTTTAAAAACCACTGGAGGCCAGCTGTGGTGGCTCATGCGAGTTTGAGGGGGCAGATGACTTGAAGCCAGGAGTTTGAGAGCAGCCTGGCCAACATGGCAGAGCCCCATCTCTACAAAAAATACAAAAATTAGCCAGGTGTGGTGGCGGGAGCCTATAGTCCCAGATACTCAGGTGGCTGAGGCAGGAGAATCGCTTGAGCCCAGGAAGTCGAGGTTGCAGTGAGCCAAGATTGCGCCAGTGTACTCCAGCCTGGGTGACAGTGGGACTCCGTCTGAAAAAAAAAAAAAAAAAATTGTAATGGTGCCAGGCACAGGAGGTCACCTGTAATCCCAACACTGGGAGGGCTCAGATAGGAAGATCACTTGAGCCCAGCCTGAGCAATATAGTGAGACCTCAACTCTACCAAAACAAGCAAATTTAAAAATAATAAGATTTTTTTATTTTTTTTGAAAATTACATGGTCATGATGGCACATACCTGAAGTCCTGCTACTCAGGAGGCTGAGGTGGGAGGATCACCTGAGCCCAGGAGGTTGAGGCTGCAGTGAGTCATGATTGTGCTGCACCTGGGCGACAGAGCAAGACCCTGTCTCTCAAAAAAAAAAAAAAAAAAAAAAAAAATCCATTGGAAAGGAATCCTGAGAGATTCAGGGAAAATTGTATCTCACTGGACAGCCTCAGAAGACAACTGATAAAATCCTGATCCAACATCTTGCCCAAGACAAATCCTATAGGTTCAGACACGCAAAAACTGTGAGATAGTTTATCTTTCCTTCAGCACATAAGGTACCATCTGAAAACACTTCCGGTGAGTGATGGGAAATAACTCCATTTGAGAGCCAACTAGATCTAGATTCAGACCTAGATTTGAATCCCATCTATGCCATTGATTAGGATTAACCTCAGGCAATTTATCCTCTCTGAATTGCAATTTCCTCATGGCTAAATGGAAGAATCCCCAAGATGCAGAATTGTGAGGATTAAACAGGCTGCCGGCTTATATAAAGTGGTCACATCTTGCCTGGGAGGGAATTGGTGCTCGGGATGGTGAAATGGTAAACAGGATGGGCTCGAGCTGAACTGCTTGAGACAGCCCTAGCTCCACCACTTACTCACTATAGACTTTGGGAAAATCTGTCTAAGCCAGTTTCCTGGACTCTAGAATGGAGATAATACTGGCACCTATCTCCTGGTGTTATGAGGACCAAATCAGATTAAGTGCATAAGTAGATTAACCTGGCCTGGCACAGGGTAAGCAGCTGCCATCCTCCTCCTCCTATTCCTCCTCCTCCACCTCCCTCATGCTTATTCTGGTTGGTAATGTCAGTGAAACCACTAGACTCTGTTTGGGGCAAATATCCTTTTTTTTTTTTTTTTTTTTTTTTTTTTAAAGGCAAATTTAGTAGTGTAGGGGGTTGTATAATAGTGACCCTAACTACCAAGGCCAGCTCTAGCAGCCTTGGGAGCTGAGAGCCTCAGAGGGACTGACAGCATTCGGGGCTGCAGGCCTCGAGCCGACTCTGACCCACGTATTTATTCTCTCTGAACAGGTGATTATTGTTAACAAACAGGTGTTCAGTGTTTTCTCATAGAACAAAAATAAACTAGGTACGCAGCTGATGCCTACTTACCACTGATCAAGGACAGACTAGAATGTATTCTCCACTAGGGAGCCGTGGGGGCAGGTCACATATCCCGCGCTTTAAGAATTGCTTTAACTGGTGTATGATAATACTGTTTTGCTACTTTATTTTTTTTT